GTTCACTGCTTAAATAAAATCCTTGCACAACCAGAATCCTTGAGAGAGACTAAGAATGAGTGAGGGTTTGAGGGAGGCGCACAATTGAGTTGAAATTAACCCTTGGATAAAATTGTATTTATATAGTATTAATTCGGATTGAATCCGATTATTAAATTGGGTTGAGCCCGATTTTAATATTCGGGTTCAACCCGTGAACCCGATGGGCCAACCCTAAGCCCGTCCAAATTGAATTCAAGTTGAAATTTTTTGACCCAAGCGTAATTCAAGTATTAAAAATTCTAACCAGTCCTAATTTTTTCGAGTTAGACTCGAGTTGAAATCAGATTAGTCCGTCCAAATTACACCCCTAGTGATTTTTTGTATGAATTTCATAGAGTATACTGCCCTGAGCCTGAGGCTCTCCAAAAGGCCTGCCACCTAATCAGACAGTCCACCGGCCTATTGGACCATGGGCCAATCTGGATCAAATCGATTCATGGATGTTTAACAAAAAAATTGTTGGTAATGGAAAAATATTTAAAAACGGATGTGACAACTATATTTTTCTATTATAAAACACGAGTCAAAACAAAATTTTTCATTTAAAATAACAACAAAACAAAAAAATAAGTTAGAAATTTCATATAAAGGTAAAATAAAGTTTCAAAAAAATGATACAATATAATATTCAAACAATCCAAATAAACTCTTAGTTAGTATCAGTTTTTTTGGTGTTCAACGGCCAGAGTGTCCAGACAACTTCTAACTAGTGTCGGCTACGCCTGTACTCCATCCAAACTGAATGATAGAGTAGAGCCCCGGTGACAGTAGCGGTGCCAGATGGCTACATTCCTGACTGAATGGTTTTATGGGCCACGTTCAGGTGTTAGGAACAAAGAACACTTGTAGGCATTGGAAGTCAGCTGATGATGGGCCATTACAGCATGTCCTTGCTATCCGTGAATCTTCTAGCAGCCTGCAAATTCTGCCAAAAATAGAATATCAGCAGGGCCGGCCCAACAAATATGGGGCACTTGGGGAAAATATTCAGAGGGACTATAAAATATAATAATATAGATACAATAAAATATATATATATATATATATATATATATATATATATATTTACAAATAAGTTTTTCCTTGTATTTGAGAGAAAAACTATTAGTTTTGCATTCAAGCTTTAGTTATCAAGGATTCATTAATTGAAGTTGAATTTAAGGACTAAAATATAATTAAATCTACTATTAATTAAAAATATAGAGAGAAAAAATTAAAATTTATTAATACAAGTAAATTATTTTTTAAAAACGAATGTCAGTGAGAATTTTAAATTATAAACTATTCAAAATCAATATGTTTTTTTTATCATTCTGTGTGTGTTTCGTGTGTATTTTAAAAAAAAATGAGCAAAAAACGGATCCAGTTAAAAAAAAAAAAAAGGTCACCTAAGAAAAAAAATATAATTTATGAAAATTAGGTGATAAATAATTAATTAGCCAATTGACTTTGATTGTCATAAATTAAAAGTAATTTTTTTTTATTATTTACATAAACCTAAGTAAGACTGAAAAATTAAGTAATATTTGAATAATCATTCGATTGTATCATATTAGAATTTACTTAATATATGTACGTCATACTTAGAATCATGTATAATTTAACGAGTTTATGTCACGTTTCATTGGAGACATGTTAATTTGAGGGGTCGAGCAATTTTATCAATTTTTCGTCCAATCATGCTATAAGACCAGACTCAAACTTATTAATGTTGTGTCAAATTTTTATTGATTCATAGATTATACTTCAAATTGCAAGATTAATTAAAATTAAGGATCTTAAATTTATTTTAATTGAATCTTAAAAACAAAATTAAAGATTCCAAATATTATTATTTTATTTGTGGCCCTAAACGGAATTTAATGGCCTTTGCCCAGAGCCGGTCCTGAGAAAATGATATCCCCCACTTTCTACTTCACATTGTCCCAACGGCAAACATTTGTACCCGGAGGGTGTCTCTGCCTTGATTTTAATTGATGCAAATGCCGCAAAAAAGATTGGACCCTCAACCTCATGATCTAAACAGGAGAAAGTGACAATTTATTTGGTCCCCACTTGTGGGTAAGGGGGTGGTATGAGCTACACCTTTCTTTGTGTCTAATCCAAGCAAAGAGTAGGGGACCAATTCAGGTAGATAGCTACATATCAATATAAGTAATTTAGATTTTGGTTCAAGGCAATATGTTGTTTTGAGTTCTATGTATACCACTTGCATAGCTAGGCTTATGATGGTGTTGGTAATCGACGGTGCTTGAAATCTCTTTACTCAATTACATAATAGTGTTGGAGTGAGATTCAATGAGGGTTTGGTGTGTGTGTGCGCGCTTAAAATAGAGTTGAGGCAAAAAATTGACGTTGGAAAAAATAAAGAGTATGAGTGGTTCGTCTCAGTCAAGAGACTGAGATTACATCCACTGCAATGGAAATTTTTGCTCTTTAAGAGTTGTATTATTTGAAGAAGAAGATAGTGGTTACACAAGGTTTGGCAAGGACCCTTTACAAAGTATTTCTTAAGTTGCCTCTGATATTCTCCATATCTCTCCTAATTTTTTTGTTCTTTTACGCTCTCTCCCTCTACGCAGTATCCTTGTCTTCTATTTATACATCTTGTTGGTAGGGTTTCTTCGATGCTTATTTTTTTGGTTGATTCTGTGGTCTCATCCTCATTTGTCCTATAGCTAAACTTGTTATTCTGACATTTTCTATGTCCACTAATCCTACAACGGAATGTACATGGCATCTCCACTATCAGTGAGTATTTGTTCGTGGGAATTGTCACGAATTGTCCCTCTGTCCCTTGTCCACGTGGTGCAATTAGGAGTTATCTGTTATCCGTTTTAATGTTGAGCTCAAAACGTCCGAACAGGCGATTATCGTTGACCTTGTGGAAGCCAATTCGAGCCTTGATCTGAGTTGGATGATCCTAGGCTTTTCACAAGGTTGGACCATTGTCCAGCCTCGCTATGGGGGACGCCATCCAGAAGGGCTGCTTGGGTTTGCCATCGATGGACCCATTGGAGGCTTTGAGCTCAAACTTAAATCTATAATTATCAGTAATAAATCGGGTCGGATTTAAACTGTGTTGTGTCGGAATTTATACAAAACCTAGTTAAAATTAAATATAGTTAGTTAGGTTCGTGTTAACTCGTTGATTTTATAAATTTAACATATGGTGTATGTTAATATTTCCACAATGGCATTTGGCCATATCAATGACACCGAAGCCTGCATGCATATTGTACCTCTCCGGTATACTTCCTTGGCCTAGCCTATGTTGCTATCAACGTACTGAAAAGGTGGAGCATACTGGAGGCATTCAATCATTTGGATGTTTCGTTGATTATAAATCTGGCAAGAAATTGAGCCATGTTACTCGCAAATCCTTTTGATGTGGTTGCATTCGATCCGAAAATATTTGTCATCTAATCCTATGCATACCATACCATATATGCTAGCTAGCTTGCAAAAAGATTTGAAACTTGACAGGTATGGACATTATGAACATCGGCATCAAACTTGAGGGTCTAATCTCCAACGTTGATTGCCAGAACTTTCTTGTATCACCAACTTTGTTGACGTTGAGAATTCAGATAAAGCATATCTTAGCCAAAATCCTTGTTTTTTTTTTTTTTTGTTTGTTTGTTTGGGGTGGGGGGCGAGTGTTGAGAAATATAGTAATGCACCTTTCCGCTTACTGACAAAGGGAGTGAGTGAACAATCACTTGTAGGCCTAACTCTTATGTCTAATTTAGATCATTAAGTTTTTAATTTAGGACATGACTTAGCCATCAATGCATTTGGTTGTAGCCATTTTTCTTTGCTAAATTCAATTTAAAATACCTTGTTGGTAGAGAGAAACAGACAGTGCCAAAACGTGGAGGGTTCAGCAGACTTTATTAATTATCTTCTCTGTCTAATGATGGAATTTACAACACACAAAAGACAAATTCATAGAGAATTTATTGCCTAAGTTTGATGGCAACATTACACCTTCATTGTTCACATTTTCTCACATTATTCCTACAAGCATTAACAATTAGGTGAAGTAAATTAATCAATAGGAAGTGGACCATAAAAAAAAAATAATACTAATGAATGTCGTTGGGAACAACATTCCAAGAATCCTCCATCAATGAACTAGTTAAATATTTTCATCAGAAATTTACGGGTCAACTTATGATTACCTCGATTAACTTTTTTTTCGATTCAGTCAAAAATAGATAATTCATGCTCGAACAAGAGTATTTATAAAAAATAAATCATTCATAACCTGACTCTAAAAATTTATTAAACTTCAAATTCAAAATATCTAAATTTATAACACTCTCTTGATATCGCCTTGATATCGCCCGAAGTTACTTCGAGTTGACCACTACGGTTTAGAAAGGAGTAAAGAGTTCCGCCGAATAATTGGTCAGGGATAAGATGGGGACAAAAATCTGAGGGCCAGGTGAGAGCCACGTATGACAACACCATTGGAAAGTCATGGAGTAGTTCATCTGGGTGCAGACGTGCAGTATGTGAAGATGCTGGAGTTGTGCCTCATGGCAAAACACCCAAATTACGGAACCACTAAAGCTAGGTTGGTTGTTAAACACAGAATACTCGTGAGAATAACAAAACAAAAATTCTCTCTCTAGTAGGTGATTGATTAGGTGCTATTTTAGCATCATTACTGTGTAAAGCCCATCCTGACCTTAGAGGGTAATCAGTTTTAATCATTTATTTAGGGATGGGTAGAGTTTACTCTGCAGCCAAGCTCACAGTAATCATAACAAGAAAACAAAGATTTCCTGCTTTTTCAGCAGGTTGTTAGGCATTATAAACAGGACAACCATTCAACAACAGCTCCTATTTAATTTGCTCTGTGTCATGGTTTTCTTCCTCCGTGGACCCCACTCTCCTTCCCTCTTAGTAATTTATCTTCCATCCCCACCATAACCATAAAAGGTAGAGTTATGTTCTGTATCTCCTCCCTTAAACCTCAAAGAGACACACAACAACACAAGGGAAAATCTGATCTCATGGGTAATTACAGGTTCAGGCTATCAGATATGATACCAAATGCCTGGTTTTACAAGCTCAAGGACATGAGTAGAACCAGAAAGCAAAACTCAATACACCCCACAAAGAAAAAACATCAACCCATATCATCATCATCATCAGCAAAGCAGCCCCACGTCTCCCAGCAGAGGAAATCCTACTACTTTACAAGAGACCTTACTCCACAACCAAGTCATATCACATTCTACAACAACTTAGCCTCAAGCCCCAAGGTCTCAGACGCTCATTTTCCAGACCCGCCAAGAAAATCATCCAAGAAGAGACGTAGCACCAAGAGAAACAGATCCTCCAACAGGTCATCCCCGAGGCTCGTCACCTCCTCTATGTCAGCCGGTTGCAGCTGTCGAACCAGTCTCGAATCCGTCTCGACTAAACCCGATTCAACGGCCGAGGAGTACCCGAATTCCCCTCCTGATAGCTCCTCTGAGCATGAATCACTCTTGCCTGAGATTGGCTCTGACCGTTGTTTCACCCCTTCAACATTCGATGGCATGGTTTCTTGGTCTACATCTTGTCACTGCGGGGACATCGTGATTGACATGGACAACAAACGAATCAGTGGAAAATTGAATGAGCTTGACAAGCTTGATGGGTTTGATACAGTATCTCAACTTGACCTCCCTCCAATCATAACCAAACCGGCATTGGTAAAGGAAATGAAGAAGAAAGAGACCAATGAACCAATCAAGTTTAGGAGGAGCTCGGCTACATTTGATGAAGGAAACGTCCATGGATCTTTATCTGTCAAGGTAGTCAAGGAGGATATTATTAATACTGCTTCAAAAGAACAGAGGAAAAGTTTTTCTTCAAGAAAAAATACGGTGAATTCGCCAGGAATGAAGCTAAGGATCAACTCTCCAAGAATAGCAAGCAGAAGAATTCAAGGGCGAAAGAGTGTATCATCGAATTCGAGTTCAAGTTCAAGGAGGAGTTTATCGGAGAGTTTAGCCGTGGTGAAGTCGTCTCAGAACCCACAAAAAGATTTCAGGGAGTCGATGGTGGAGATGATAGTGGAGAACAACATCAGGGACTCAAAGGACTTAGAAGAGCTTCTTGCATGTTATCTTTCATTGAATGCTGATGAATATCATGAACTTATCATCAAGGTCTTCAAGCAAATCTGGTTTGATATTACCGACGTTGGGTTGGAGTGATTTAATAATGATTGTAAATTTTGCCTACTCTATTCTATGATGTTATGTATAGTTTTCTTTCTTGTTATGAATCGAAGTCCTCAAGCTAGCTAGTACTAGGACTTTTAGCCTCTTAATTTGTAAGAGTAAACTTCTGATCTCTTGCATAAATTTCAGCCACTTTATATTGCTTTCAAATAAACAATGTCAGTGTGGTTTAAGGAATTTATATGTATATTNGCGCGCTTAAAATAGAGTTGAGGCAAAAAATTGACGTTGGAAAAAATAAAGAGTATGAGTGGTTCGTCTCAGTCAAGAGACTGAGATTACATCCACTGCAATGGAAATTTTTGCTCTTTAAGAGTTGTATTATTTGAAGAAGAAGATAGTGGTTACACAAGGTTTGGCAAGGACCCTTTACAAAGTATTTCTTAAGTTGCCTCTGATNGTGCGCTTAAAATAAAGTTGAGACAAAAAATTGACGTTGGAAAAAATAAAGAGTATGAGTGGTTCGTCTCAGTCAAGAGACTGAGATTACATCCACTGCAATGAAAACTTTTGCTCTTTAAGAGTTGTATTATTTGAAGAAGAAGATAGTGGTTACACAAGGTTTGGCAAGGACCCTTTACAAAGTATTTCTTAAGTTGCCTCTGATATTCNAAATTTTTCATTTAAAATAACAACAAAACAAAAAAATAAGTTAGAAATTTCATATAAAGGTAAAATAAAGTTTCAAAAAAATGATACAATATAATATTCAAACAATNTTTGGCAAGGACCCTTTACAAAGTATTTCTTAAGTTGCCTCTGATATTCTCCATATCTCTCCTAATTTTTTTGTTCTTTTACGCTCTCTCCCTCTACGCAGTATCCTTGTCTTCTATTTATACATCTTGTTGGTAGGGTTTCTTCAATGCTTCTTTTTTTGGTTGATTCTGTGGTCTCATCCTCATTTGTCCTATAGCTAAACTTGTTATTCTGACATTTTCTATGTCCACTAATCCTACAACGGAATGTACATGGCATCTCCACTATCAGTGAGTATTTGTTCGTGGGAATTGTCACGAATTGTCCCTCTGTCCCTTGTCCACGTGGTGCAANCGATGCTTATTTTTTTGGTTGATTCTGTGGTCCCATCCTCATTTGTCCTATAGCTAAACTTGTTATTCTGACATTTTCTATGTCCACTAATCCTACAACGGAATGTACATGGCATCTCCACTATCAGTGAGTATTTGTTCGTGGGAATTGTCACGAATTGTCCCTCTGTCCCTTGTCCACGTGGTGCAATTAGGAGTTATCTGTTATCCGTTTTAATGTTGAGCTCAAAACGTCCGAACAGGCGATTATCGTTGACCTTGTGGAAGCCAATTCGAGCCTTGATCTGAGTTGGATGATCCTAGGCTTTTCACAAGGTTGGACCATTGTCCAGCCTCGCTATGGGGGACGCCATCCAGAAGGGCTGCTTGGGTTNTAATGTTGAGCTCAAAACGTCCGAACAGGCGATTATCGTTGACCTTGTTGAAGCCAATTCGAGCCTTGATCTGAGTTGGATGATCCTAGGCTTTTCACAAGGCTGGACCATTGTCCAGCCTCGCTATGGGGGACGCCATCCAGAAGGGCTGCTTGGGTTTGCCATCGATGGACCCATTGGAGGCTTTGAGCTCAAACTTAAATCTATAATTATCAGTAATAAATCGGGTCGGATTTAAACTGTGTTGTGTCGGAATTTATACAAAACCTAGTTAAAATTAAATATAGTTAGTTAGGTTCGTGTTAACTCGTTGATTTTATAAATTTAACATATGGTGTATGTTAATATTTCCACAATGGCATTTGGCCATATCAATGACACCGAAGCCTGCATGCATATTGTACCTCTCCGGTATACTTCCTTGGCCTAGCCTATGTTGCTATCAACGTACTGAAAAGGTGGAGCATACTGGAGGCATTCAATCATTTGGATGTTTCGTTGATTATAAATCTGGCAAGAAATTGAGCCATGTTACTCGCAAATCCTTTTGATGTGGTTGCGTTCGATCCGAAAATATTTGTCATCTAATCCTATGCATACCATACCATATATGCTAGCTAGCTTGCAAAAAGATTTGAAACTTGACAGGTATGGACATTATGAACATCGGCATCAAACTTGAGGGTCTAATCTCCAACGTTGATTGCCAGAACTTTCTTGTATCACCAACTTTGTTGACGTTGAGAATTCAGATAAAGCATATCTTAGCCAAAATCCTTGTTTTTTTTTTTTTTTGTTTGTTTGTTTGGGGTGGGGGGCGAGTGTTGAGAAATATAGTAATGCACCTTTCCGCTTACTGACAAAGGGAGTGAGTGAACAATCACTTGTAGGCCTAACTCTTATGTCTAATTTAGATCATTAAGTTTTTAATTTAGGACATGACTTAGCCATCAATGCATTTGGTTGTAGCCATTTTTCTTTGCTAAATTCAATTTAAAATACCTTGTTGGTAGAGAGAAACAGACAGTGCCAAAACGTGGAGGGTTCAGCAGACTTTATTAATTATCTTCTCTGTCTAATGATGGAATTTACAACACACAAAAGACAAATTCATAGAGAATTTATTGCCTAAGTTTGATGGCAACATTACACCTTCATTGTTCACATTTTCTCACATTATTCCTACAAGCATTAACAATTAGTTGAAGTAAATTAATCAATAGGAAGTGGACCATAAAAAAAAAATAATACTAATGAATGTCGTTGGGAACAACATTCCAAGAATCCTCCATCAATGAACTAGTTAAATATTTTCATCAGAAATTTACGGGTCAACTTATGATTACCTCGATTAACTTTTTTTTCGATTCAGTCAAAAATAGATAATTCATGCTCGAACAAGAGTATTTATAAAAAATAAATCATTCATAACCTGACTCTAAAAATTTATTAAACTTCAAATTCAAAATATCTAAATTTATAACACTCTCTTGATATCGCCTTGATATCGCCCGAAGTTACTTCGAGTTGACCACTACGGTTTAGAAAGGAGTAAAGAGTTCCGCCGAATAATTGGTCAGGGATAAGATGGGGACAAAAATCTGAGGGCCAGGTGAGAGCCACGTATGACAACACCATTGGAAAGTCATGGAGTAGTTCATCTGGGTGCAGACGTGCAGTATGTGAAGATGCTGGAGTTGTGCCTCATGGCAAAACACCCAAATTACGGAACCACTAAAGCTAGGTTGGTTGTTAAACACAGAATACTCGTGAGAATAACAAAACAAAAATTCTCTCTCTAGTAGGTGATTGATTAGGTGCTATTTTAGCATCATTACTGTGTAAAGCCCATCCTGACCTTAGAGGGTAATCAGTTTTAATCATTTATTTAGGGATGGGTAGAGTTTACTCTGCAGCCAAGCTCACAGTAATCATAACAAGAAAACAAAGATTTCCTGCTTTTTCAGCAGGTTGTTAGGCATTATAAACAGGACAACCATTCAACAACAGCTCCTATTTAATTTGCTCTGTGTCATGGTTTTCTTCCTCCGTGGACCCCACTCTCCTTCCCTCTTAGTAATTTATCTTCCATCCCCACCATAACCATAAAAGGTAGAGTTATGTTCTGTATCTCCTCCCTTAAACCTCAAAGAGACACACAACAACACAAGGGAAAATCTGATCTCATGGGTAATTACAGGTTCAGGCTATCAGATATGATACCAAATGCCTGGTTTTACAAGCTCAAGGACATGAGTAGAACCAGAAAGCAAAACTCAATACACCCCACAAAGAAAAAACATCAACCCATATCATCATCATCATCAGCAAAGCAGCCCCACGTCTCCCAGCAGAGGAAATCCTACTACTTTACAAGAGACCTTACTCCACAACCAAGTCATATCACATTCTACAACAACTTAGCCTCAAGCCCCAAGGTCTCAGACGCTCATTTTCCAGACCCGCCAAGAAAATCATCCAAGAAGAGACGTAGCACCAAGAGAAACAGATCCTCCAACAGGTCATCCCCGAGGCTCGTCACCTCCTCTATGTCAGCCGGTTGCAGCTGTCGAACCAGTCTCGAATCCGTCTCGACTAAACCCGATTCAACGGCCGAGGAGTACCCGAATTCCCCTCCTGATAGCTCCTCTGAGCATGAATCACTCTTGCCTGAGATTGGCTCTGACCGTTGTTTCACCCCTTCAACATTCGATGGCATGGTTTCTTGGTCTACATCTTGTCACTGCGGGGACATCGTGATTGACATGGACAACAAACGAATCAGTGGAAAATTGAATGAGCTTGACAAGCTTGATGGGTTTGATACAGTATCTCAACTTGACCTCCCTCCAATCATAACCAAACCGGCATTGGTAAAGGAAATGAAGAAGAAAGAGACCAATGAACCAATCAAGTTTAGGAGGAGCTCGGCTACATTTGATGAAGGAAACGTCCATGGATCTTTATCTGTCAAGGTAGTCAAGGAGGATATTATTAATACTGCTTCAAAAGAACAGAGGAAAAGTTTTTCTTCAAGAAAAAATACGGTGAATTCGCCAGGAATGAAGCTAAGGATCAACTCTCCAAGAATAGCAAGCAGAAGAATTCAAGGGCGAAAGAGTGTATCATCGAATTCGAGTTCAAGTTCAAGGAGGAGTTTATCGGAGAGTTTAGCCGTGGTGAAGTCGTCTCAGAACCCACAAAAAGATTTCAGGGAGTCGATGGTGGAGATGATAGTGGAGAACAACATCAGGGACTCAAAGGACTTAGAAGAGCTTCTTGCATGTTATCTTTCATTGAATGCTGATGAATATCATGAACTTATCATCAAGGTCTTCAAGCAAATCTGGTTTGATATTACCGACGTTGGGTTGGAGTGATTTAATAATGATTGTAAATTTTGCCTACTCTATTCTATGATGTTATGTATAGTTTTCTTTCTTGTTATGAATCGAAGTCCTCTAGCTAGCTAGTACTAGGACTTTTAGCCTCTTAATTTGTAAGAGTAAACTTCTGATCTCTTGCATAAATTTCAGCCACTTTATATTGCTTTCAAATAAACAATGTCAGTGTGGTTTAAGGAATTTATATGTATATTTGAAACAGGTCTATTTCACTGAAGCTTTTTCTAGCCTGTCCTGTTTTTGTTCAATGGATACCGGAAGTTAATGGAGTATTAAAAGGTTTACAGTTTTGGCTCCTGCTACATTTGACTGAAAAAGTAAAAAAACCATCTTTGTCCATGAAATACCAACATGTGATTGTGATCAATGGCTGCAGCAAGATAACTTTTGGTAGACATAGAACTCTATGATATATGTAGAAGAACAGTAGGAAGTAGATTACTTGAATCCGACAGAGTCGCTCCTTCAAAGCAAAACAAAAAATTTAAAAAAGTAATAGTAGAAGTAAAATTGGAGCCATCAATAGGATCAGTTGTGTTTGATCCAGATTAAGTCAACAATCAAGACTCATCGCTTGGTCATGAACTCCTTTGAATTTGGGTCAAATTCCATCATTTAGTTCTTCAATAGTTATATAATTGACCTCCTTCGAATTTGGGTCAAATTCCATCATTTAGTTCTTCAATAGTTATATAATTAGAGACAATCCGGTGAAGTAACATGGGAATTTCAATACCATGAAAATTTTGAACAATGAAAAAGTGTAGCAATATGAAGTTATGTAAATGGCACGTTTCGTGCAACTCTGTAAAAATAAATGACTTAAATGTTGGAAAAAATTGCAGAGGTTACAAATTGTTTTGACAGCATCGACCCTTATATGGGTCAATGGAGATTTGGACGAGCTTTGATGAATAAAAAAAGAGAATTGTTGAATTAAGAATATTAAACATATTATCAGGCAATACAATTACAAAAATAAAACTAAAGTGGCTAGTAAAGGTCCAAAGATGACATTAAAGTTAGCCAATGTCAGGATTGGCCGGATGTTATGACGCTTGATTAATGCAATTCATGAGGGGGATTCTCTTTGTTGAGCTGTGTCTTGTTCTACCAAGGGGAGAAAGATGAAAAGGACAAGCACAGGGGAAAGAAATTAAGGTAGATAATTAAAGGGCAAAAGAGTGGTATGAAGCGAACATCATCTTCTGTTCATACACAAACGGGACAGTCAAACGTACGTACATCTATCTGGCTGACAATTTCTTCCTCTATCAAACTTCAGCTTCTACTGTAAAAGAAGATACCCTTTTAGTATAAGTTTCATTTTTTGCTTTTTTTTTTTCACTGTTATACATGTGGTCGTCTTTTTTTTTTAAGTTCAACTGTTGGGAGTATTCAATCCAATTTTTGTCCATTTCGATTAATTCTTTCGTTGGTCTAATCAAAAACAAGTCATCCATATCAAAATTTATAAATCTCTCGTGTCTTAACCCTAAAGAGTCATTAAAATTCGAATTCAAAGTATCTGAAGTTACGATATACACGACAGAAGTGCACAAAAGTTTGTCAGTGCAATAAGTATTAAAGGTATAAACAGTAGAAAGCTGCTCAACATTCAAATTAAGCCAAGCATTTGTGAATTAAAAACCATAAATTTTGAAATTTATGTACTAGGCGTGATTTCAATTTGCAGAAAGCTTTGATGGGCCTAAAAGAGGCTTTAAAAATTTCGTATCTAGTCTGAAAGTGAAGGGTTGATAATAAAAGCAAAAGTTGCTTGGAAGTTTACAAAAGTTGTATACTTTTTCAAACAGTAGGCATGGTTTTATTAGGCATGACTATGATGATATTGATCAAGAGGCATAATGCAGATTGTCATTGAATTTGGTTCGCCCAGTGGACGGCTCAGATTGATTTGGTGACATACAATTCTGGTGGAAACTCGCACGAAATTTCGAGGTACCGCAAGTAGTAACAAATATGAGTTATAAATTCAGATGTTATAAGTTAAAATCTTGACAACTTTTTAATGTTAGACTTTGAGAGATTTATCGTTCATGAATATCCTAATTTCACTATGACTAACCTGTCTTTGACCAAACTGAAAAAAAATTTAATTGAGGTACGCGTAAACTGACCCGAACGCTCCTAATTATTGAACCCAAAAATTAAAAACCCACCGGGAAATAATTGAATATTTTTCTCCCTAGAAACCCTTGCCGATTGCTGCCATTATTTGGAAAGGCAAGCGTTGATAGTGGTGGTCCTCTCTTTCTGCGACAAGCATCTTCATGATATATTTTACTGGATAAAGGCTACACTGATATTTGATCCAAATTGTGGATTTTAATTTGAATAGTTTGTAATCGGAACAAATGATAAAATAGTAAAAAGTAAAAAATTTATAAGAAAAATTTACATGTGATACAATTTTATTAGATAAAAAATAAAAGTATGATATCAATATTTTTTTTTTAATTTCTGACCCTATTTTGCAACCAGCCAAGTGAAATGTGATATTGGATTATAATATTAGGAACTAATGAATTTTTTTTTTCAATGGGCATATGTGTCTAAGCCAATTACACATGTTTTAACTAATTCCCTTTTCGGTCTTTTTAAAAATAAGTCATTCGTGTCGAAATTAAAGTATTCATGAAGGATAAGTTTCTCATAACCTGATCCCAACAAATTACCACGATTCAAACTTGATGATGCACAAAAATGGTTTTGCACACCACCTGTCAAGTGTANGCATTTGGTTGTAGCCATTTTTCTTTGCTAAATTCAATTTAAAATACCTTGTTGGTAGAGAGAAACAGACAGTGCCAAAACGTGGAGGGTTCAGCAGACTTTATTAATTATCTTCTCTGTCTAATGATGGAATTTACAACACACAAAAGACAAATTCATAGAGAATTTATTGCCTAAGTTTGATGGCAACATTACACCTTCATTGTTCACATTTTCTCACATTATTCCTACAAGCATTAACAATTAGGTGAAGTAAATTAATCAATAGGAAGTAGACCATAAAAAAAAAATAATACTAATAAATGTCGTTGGGAACAACATTCCAAGAATCCTCCATCAATGAACTAGTTAAATCTTTTCATCAGAAATCTACATGTCAACTTATGATCACCTCGATTAATTTTTTTTTCGATTCAATCAAAAGTAGATAATTCACGCTCGAACAAGAGTATTTATAAAAAATAAATTATTCATAACCTGACTCTAAAAATTTATCAAACTTCAAATTCAAAATATCTAAATTTATAACACTAGCCTGATATCGCCCGAAGTTACTTCGAGTTGACCACTACCGGTTTAGAAAGGAGTAAAGAGTTCCGCCGAATAATTGGTCAGGGATAAGGTGGGGACAAAAATCTGAGGGCCAGGTGAGAGCCACGTATGACAACACCATTGGAAAGTCATGGAGTTGTTCATCTGGGTGCAGACGTGCAGTATGTGAAGATGCTGGAGTTGTGCCTCATGGCAAAACACCCAAATTACGGAACCACTAAAGCTAGGTTGGTTGTTAAACACAGAATACTCGTGAGAATAACAAAACAAAAATTCTCTCTCTAGTAGGTGATTGATTAGGTGCTATTTTAGCATCATTACTGTGTAAAGCCCATCCTGACCTTAGAGGGTAATCAGTTTTAATCATTTATTTAGGGATGGGTAGAGTTTACTCTGCAGCCAAGCTCACAGTAATCATAACAAGAAAACAAAGATTTCCTGCTTTTTCAGCAGGTTGTTAGGCATTATAAACAGGACAACCATTCAACAACAGCTCCTATTTAATTTGCTCTGTGTCATGGTTTTCTTCCTCCGTGGACCCCACTCTCCTTCCCTCTTAGTAATTTATCTTCCATCCCCACCATAACCATAAAAGGTAGAGTTATGTTCTGTATCTCCTCCCTTAAACCTCAAAGAGACACACAACAACACAAGGGAAAATCTGATCTCATGGGTAATTACAGGTTCAGGCTATCAGATATGATACCAAATGCCTGGTTTTACAAGCTCAAGGACATGAGTAGAACCAGAAAGCAAAACTCAATACACCCCACAAAGAAAAAACATCAACCCATATCATCATCATCATCAGCAAAGCAGCCCCACGTCTCCCAGCAGAGGAAATCCTACTACTTTACAAGAGACCTTACTCCACAACCAAGTCATATCACATTCTACAACAACTTAGCCTCAAGCCCCAAGGTCTCAGACGCTCATTTTCCAGACCCGCCAAGAAAATCATCCAAGAAGAGACGTAGCACCAAGAGAAACAGATCCTCCAACAGGTCATCCCCGAGGCTCGTCACCTCCTCTATGTCAGCCGGTTGCAGCTGTCGAACCAGTCTCGAATCCGTCTCGACTAAACCCGATTCAACGGCCGAGGAGTACCCGAATTCCCCTCCTGATAGCTCCTCTGAGCATGAATCACTCTTGCCTGAGATTGGCTCTGACCGTNGTGCAGATAAGCTTCTCATGCTCTCCTCTTGATGACGTGCTAAGCAAAAAGTCTAACCGGTCTTGGACTGTCTTGGACTTGGTGGATTTGGACCGTTTCATTTGGTGGTGCAGATAAGCTTCCCATGCTCTCCTCTTGGTGACGTGCTAAGCAAAAAGTCTAACCGGTCTTGGACTGTCTTGGGATTGGTGGAATCAAAATGAGGTTGGGCTCCTCAACTGGGGTTGGACTTTAACACATAAATTGGACTATTTAGACTTAACTCATCAAAACTTAATACATCTAAATTTATAATTCATCTTTATTACCGGTTACCTTTGATTTACTAATGAATTTGTTGCACTGCCTCTTTTACTGACTTGGTAAACTTATTACCAGTGGTGAGTCTGGTGACCTACCTTTAACTGGTAATTCCTTGCCAAAAACCAATGACCCACATTTACTTTGTAGCTTAAGGCAGTGTTATTTGCTATACGTGATGACTCTTCTTCTTATTTAGACATACTTTAACGAAGGTAAACATAATTAAAAAAATCCAGATTCTCATCGGTTTATTTTCTCTTCAATTTTTTTTTTTGTGGCAAATCATCTATTTTATGGGTGAGACCTATTATATATAAGTGGGTCTTTTATGCATTAATAATAGATGATTTGCCAATAAAAAAATAAAGAGAAAGTATATGAGATGAGACTACAGTCCCTTTATAAATTATAAACAAATGATTAAATAAAAAAACATAGACTAACAAGATTATATTCGAGTATTCCATAACTAAACAAAAGATGCAATAGTGTGCCTAATGTCTCTAAATCAAAAAAAAAAAAAAATCTAGTTCAGTGATGAAGGGGGTCCAAATTAGTTTACATGTATTTCAATTAACCCCTTCTCCAGTTTGATCAAATGTATGTCATCCACGTCAGAATTAAGATATTCATGAAAGATAAATCTCTCATAGCCTAATAAAGATGGTAGTTGACCAGATAAAAATGAGTATTTGTTCAAACTGGCTCTGTTTAGAATGGGGATGGACTGACATTCTGACACTTACTCCTGCCCTGCTTTACTAATTATTATTATTATTATTATATATATATATATATATATATATATGTTGCTGTGAATATAAATCTATATATTATTGAATAATTTTTTCTTTTGAAAATTGTTTTGTTTTTTGATTTTTTTTCAAGGTTTTGGCTCGTAAAAATGTAGATTTTTGTATTTTTATATTTTTTTTATGTTAGATTATATTATGTTACATGATATTATGTTGAATTTATAAGGGAGACAAACTTTTAATTATATTATGTTAGATTATGTTGTAGATAATGTTTTAATTATATTATGTTGTAAATGTCAAACTTTTAATTATGTTTGGATATTCTATAATTATGTTAGATTATTTAAAATGTTAGATTTATTTAAAATTTTGGATTATGTTTGTTTGGTCTTGGTCTTGGGCTTGGGCTTGCCTGGGTGGATGGGGATGGGGGCGGGGGCGGAAGTGGAGGTGGGTGGTGGGATGAGGATTACAAATTTATCCACAGATGGGGATAGAGATAAAAATTATACCCGTTAACTAGGGTGGACAAGATATTAACAATATTTTTTTAAGCAAGTACAGGGATAAAAACTACACTCTCTTCCCCTACTTCGGTCCACGACCATCCCTATGACCTAATTTCAAGAGACTGCTATGGTCCAAATTTAGTACGCGTATATTTATGATTCATTCTTGTTATTACGTGCACTATCTTTTGAGGTGTCATATTAAATGGCTTATGGGATCCCATTCGAAAGCTTAAAAGTGTTGAACAGCTATCTAGAAAACAAGAAGTTATTTTTCTTTTTCGTCTNTATCCGAATTAACACTCAATTTTTTTTTAGATTTGTACCGATTATTCTTTCAAATTCAAAAGTTGATTACTATGATTTGAATTAAATTAAAATATTTCTCTAAAAAGATAAGAGTAACCGATTTTTAAGAGAAATGCGAATGAATTAAATCTAAAACTTTTAAATTTATTAAAGACTTTGACTCATAAACTAAATCTTGTATTNTAAAAAAGTAATAGTAGAAGTAAAATTGGAGCCATCAATAGGATCAGTTGTGTTTGATCCAGATTAAGTCAACAATCAAGACTCATCGCTTGGTCATGAACTCCTTTGAATTTGGGTCAAATTCCATCATTTAGTTCTTCAATAGTTATATAATTGACCTCCTTCGAATTTGGGTCAAATTCCATCATTTAGTTCTTCAATAGTTATATAATTAGAGACAATCCGGTGAAGTAACATGGGAATTTCAATACCATGAAAATTTTGAACAATGAAAAAGTGTAGCAATATGAAGTTATGTAAAAATAGAGAATTGTTGAATTAAGAATATTAAACATATTATCAGGCAATACAATTACAAAAACAAAACTAAAGTGGCTAGTAAAGATCCAAAGATGACATTAAAGTTAGCCAATGTCAGGATTGGCCGGATGTTATGACGCTTGATTAATGCAATTCATGAGGGGGATTCTCTTTGTTGAGCTGTGTCTTGTTCTACCAAGGGGAGAAAGATGAAAAGGACAAGCACAGGGGAAAGAAATTAAGGTAGATAATTAAAGGGCAAAAGAGTGGTATGAAGCGAACATCATCTTCTGTTCATACACAAACGGGACAGTCAAACGTACGTACATCTATCTGGCTGACAATTTCTTCCTCTATCAAACTTCAGCTTCTACTGTAAAAGAAGATACCCTTTTAGTATAAGTTTCATTTTTTGCTTTTTTTTTTTCACTGTTATACATGTGGTCGTCTTTTTTTTTTAGTTCAACTGTTGGGAGTATTCAATCCAATTTTTGTCCATTTCGATTAATTCTTTCATTGGTCTAATCAAAAACAAGTCATCCATATCAAAATTTATAAATCTCTCGTGTCTTAACCCTAAAGAGTCATTAAAATTCGAATTCAAAGTATCTGAAGTTACGATATACACGACAGAAGTGCACAAAAGTTTGTCAGTGCAATAAGTATTAAAGGTATAAACAGTAGAAAGCTGCTCAACATTCAAATTAAGCCAAGCATTTGTGAATTAAAAACCATAAATTTTGAAATTTATGTACTAGGCGTGATTTCAATTTGCAGAAAGCTTTGATGGGCCTAAAAGAGGCTTTAAAAATTTCGTATCTAGTCTGAAAGTGAAGGGTTGATAATAAAAGCAAAAGTTGCTTGGAAGTTTACAAAAGTTGTATACTTTTTCAAACAGTAGGCATGGTTTTATTAGGCATGACTATGATGATATTGATCAAGAGGCATAATGCAGATTGTCATTGAATTTGGTTCGCCCAGTGGACGGCTCAGATTGATTTGGTGACATACAATTCTGGTGGAAACTCGCACGAAATTTCGAGGTACCGCAAGTAGTAACAAATATGAGTTATAAATTCAGATGTTATAAGTTAAAATCTTGACAACTTTTTAATGTTAGACTTTGAGAGATTTATCGTTCATGAATATCCTAATTTCACTATGACTAACCTGTCTTTGACCAAACTGAAAAAAAATTTAATTGAGGTACGCGTAAACTGACCCGAACGCTCCTAATTATTGAACCCAAAAATTAAAAACCCACCGGGAAATAATTGAATATTTTTCTCCCTAGAAACCCTTGCCGATTGCTGCCATTATTTGGAAAGGCAAGCGTTGATAGTGGTGGTCCTCTCTTTCTGCGACAAGCATCTTCATGATATATTTTACTGGATAAAGGCTACACTGATATTTGATCCAAATTGTGGATTTTAATTTGAATAGTTTGTAATCGGAACAAATGATAAAATAGTAAAAAGTAAAAAATTTATAAGAAAAATTTACATGTGATACAATTTTATTAGATAAAAAATAAAAGTATGATATCAATATTTTTTTTTTAATTTCTGACCCTATTTTGCAACCAGCCAAGTGAAATGTGATATTGGATTATAATATTAGGAACTAATGAATTTTTTTTTTCAATGGGCATATGTGTCTAAGCCAATTACACATGTTTTAACTAATTCCCTTTTCGGTCTTTTTAAAAATAAGTCATTCGTGTCGAAATTAAAGTATTCATGAAGGATAAGTTTCTCATAACCTGATCCCAACAAATTACCACGATTCAAACTTGATGATGCACAAAAATGGTTTTGCACACCACCTGTCAAGTGTAGATAATAAATGCAATGAA